GCCATGGTCGGTCCTGGAGGATTTCAAACAAAAACAGAACCGAACTGTCAAAAAGTTAACTTACTTGGGGGAAAAAAATTCTTGAACAGCTCTTGAAAATGATCGATAGCTGATTAAATTACCACCGCGTCGCACCTTCGTCTTTGTTCAGGCTCCAATTAAAATATGTATTTAAATAACACACACTCAGCGCTGCAGAAAGTGTGTATATTATTCTCCGAAGTGCGCCTGTACAATATATGAAGCCTCCACGCGGACGTGATTGAGAACACCAACTGCCAGCAGCTGATCAAGCGGGCTTCCATGAAATCTGCGCGGGCTGGTTTGTGTTTCTTCCTCCTCGAACTGATGCGGAATTTAGCCTGGCTCGTTCGGTAGCGATCCTCCCAACGACACGGTCCGAGAGGGGAGGCTTTGGGCTTTGCGTGCGTATGTCGTTTTGTCCTGAATTCATTTCGCCATGAACTTTTTTTCCCCGAAAATCAGCTCAAACCGACGAGCGCGGTGATGGATTTTGCAGAATTCGCGTAAAATTAGCCCAAAACAGCGAAAACGAGCGGGAAAAGACCGAATGTTTACAAAAGCCCCATCAACACACTCGAGGACAGGACGGGTTTGATTCATGCAAAACGTCGTTTTCGTTTTTAATGAGCTGAGGTAGCTGACGAACTAACACAGTCCGGCCACCGAGTCCGCGTGACGTTTCTCCGATTATTTATTGTTAAACCTACTATAAATGAAATGTGCGCGAAATAAAGTGGCTCTCATATCGCGGCTCATATTCACACATTTCAAGATGTGTTGGTGTCATGCATGAGCTTCAGATCTAAACGAGTAAAACGTTACAGTATATAAACCAGCAGCTCCTATGCTGAGAGATCTGAGAGAAGAGCTCGGCTTTTAGGAAAGTTGCCAACGACCCAAAGCCCAGCTTTACCGACCAGAACCCACCGGTGCCGTGGTCAGGTTCAGCATATCGATCAGTGCATGCATTCCCAGTGGTTTGTGCGTTATGGATCCGGTTGAGATATTAAGACTGGGCTGATGCTTTAAACGCTCGTGCATTCTTTTGTTATCGCTTCGTTGGCAGAGAAACGCGTATCCCGTCGGGTTATTTTCCCCTCATTTTTGCACCGTTCACTTCTGAAGTCATCGGTTTAGTTCAGGCTGCTATCGGGCTGATGCACATTTATATTTCTATCGCTCCGGCTTGTTCTGTTATGCACATTTTCAGGCTTGATGGTGTTTCAGTCAGAACGCCATCTTGAGTCTCTTCACTTTAAGCTTTACTATTCACATCCACTGCAAACTTTTAATTAGCCTACTGGATATTTGCAATCGAACTCAAGTTGATAAAGCTGATTATTCATCTTTTTTATTTAAGTTAGCACTCGAGTTGGCGATTGAGCGCGCTGGGAGTTTTCTCTCAGGAGTAATAGTGAACCGGGACACTAATGCATTTCTGTTTCTATAATAATATTAATTAATAATTTCCTCTAGACAGTTGTGGACTCTTGAAGGTTGTTGTTATGGCGTCTTTTGTGGCATAGTTTAACAGAATGTCATCATATAGTCGGTATTAAGCACAATGCACATCTCACACTCGTTCTGTTACATTCCCAGTGGTTTGTGCGTTATGGATCCGGTTGAGATATTAAGACTGGGCTGATGCTTTAAACGCTCGTGCATTCTTTTGTTATCGCTTCGTTGGCAGAGAAACGCGTATCCCGTCGGGTTATTTTCCCCTCATTTTTGCACCGTTCACTTCTGAAGTCATCGGTTTAGTTCAGGCTGCTATCGGGCTGATGCACATTTATATTTCTATCGCTCCGGCTTGTTCTGTTATGCACATTTTCAGGCTTGATGGTGTTTCAGTCAGAACGCCATCTTGAGTCTCTTCACTTTAAGCTTTACTATTCACATCCACTGCAAACTTTTAATTAGCTTACTGGATATTTGCAATCGAACTCAAGTTGATAAAGCTGATTATTCATCTTTTTTATTTAAGTTAGCACTCGAGTTGGCGATTGAGCGCGCTGGGAGTTTTCTCTCAGGAGTAATAGTGAACCGGGACACTAATGCATTTCTGTTTCTATAATAATATTAATTAATAATTTCCTCTAGACAGTTGTGGACTCTTGAAGGTTGTTGTTATGGCGTCTTTTGTGGCATAGTTTAACAGAATGTCATCATATAGTAGGTATTAAGCACAATGCACATCTCACACTCGTTCTGTTATGACAGTCTCACACTGTGTGTGTGGTTTCTATAATAATATTAATTAATAATTTCCTCTAGACAGTTGTGGACTCTTGAAGGTTGTTGTTATGGCGTCTTTTGTGGCATAGTTTAACAGAATGTCATCATATAGTCGGTATTAAGCACAATGCACATCTCACACTCGTTCTGTTATGACAGTCTCACACTGTGTGTGTGTGTGTGTGTTTGCACGCATCTATGTGATACAGACTAGTACATACAGCTCCTCTTTGTGATGTAGTGTAAGGTGTCTGCAGGTGTCTAGTGCTGAAAACAGCACCTTCCCTCACTCAGTCCATGTTAATAAGATACATAGCTATATTGCAATTGTACAAAAAAAGGTACAAAAGCTGTCACTAGTGCGGTACACTTTTAAAAGGTAAAGGTAAAAATTAGCATGCACCTTTAAGGTACTAAAATGCACCATTTAGAGGTAAATAAAGTAAAAAGGTGCCACCCTAGTGACAGCTTTTGTAAGTGGGGTTCGGAAATATTTCTGAACACTATAGAAATTAGTTTGTGGGCACACAATGCAATGCATTATTTCAATGCAATAATTTCACAAATGTAGAGATCAGGAAAGTTACAGAATTTGTGTATTTTTAACTGAAAATAACCGATGTATTTCATTATAGGCTGCTGCTGCTGAGATGCGAAAAACAAAATAGCAGATTGATTGTCCTGGACATTGTGAGTAGCATCCATGTTATGGTGTCATAATTGCAGAAGGACTGAAAATAACAATGTAAACTGCTCAAGGAAATAATTACGTGCATGTTTTTCATTAGTAGGCCTATGTAACAGCACTAATCCAGTGTACCGAACACTAAAAACTTCCACATAAAGTCAGAATTATTGTATTTTCCTATTTAATATGCAGGAATTAACATTTTTCTCATGTTTGTGATTTTTCTGTCTAGAGTACTTATATTACAGCTATGCATGACGTCAGACTATAAGGTGGCTGAATCGGTATGTGTTATGCATATTTACATGACAAAACTTAAAAATGTTTACAAATGTTTCATTATATGCTATGCAACGGCACATAAAGCACAAAAGCACAGGTTTGTTAAAGGGATAGTTCACCCAAAGTGAAAATTTGCTGAAAATGTATCCAAGATGTAGATGAGTTTGTTTCTACATCAGAACAGATTTGGAGAAATGTAGCATTGCATCAGTGTCTCAGCAATGGATGCTCTGCAGTGAATGGGTGCCGTCAGAATGAGAGTCCAAACAGCTGATAAACACATCACAATAATCCACCACCACTCCAGTCCATCAGTTAATGTCTTGTAAAGCAAAAAACTGTGTGTTTGTATGAAACAAATCAAGGCATTTTAACTTCAAACAAACTAATTTGCATGGCTTGAGGGTGAGTATATTTTCAGCAGATTTTCATTTTTGGGTGCCCTGTTTCTTTAAGCCTAATTATAGAATAAAAAGTTTTTATTTGATTAACATAACACTTGTATGGCTTTAAAATGTCAAATGAGAGAAATGTGTGCATGCAAGTGTGGATTAAAAGTCTTTGTGTGTCTCTGTAGGTGTATAGAGAATGACTTGGAGTTCACCAGTAGAGAGCAGCACTGCTCTGTTCTGCAGCGTTTATTGTGCGTAAACTAGATGGTAGTCACTATATAGGATATTTTACAAAAATCATAAATGCGTTCTTTCTCTTTAATTAGTTTACTTACAAAACAATTAATAAATATTCACATAAATACATTATAAATGTAACACCTGGTTATTTCGCTGATGTACTTAGATTCCACTCACAACAGAATAATGATATTGATTGCTGACTGGGAAAAACTGATTTTGTGGGGGTTTTTTGCTCATTGATCAGTGTCAGTACTGTCTTATATTATGCTAACCAGTGTAGAAAGGTCATGGAGTTCATAAGCATGAGGCCAGTGATGGACTGATAACACACAAGTATCAGAATGAACATCATGGGTTACAAATATCTATCTGAGGACTCAGTCTTTAGTTGATTAAGTGTCAGTCAGCCTGAGTCCTGATGGAGACACTGTAGATGAAACAGCCAGGTGTTACTGTAAACAGCACAGCATTTATGTTCATTTCTAGAGCAGACCATATGATTGTGTTTTTATATCCATGTGAACTGAAAATCACCACCACTTAGAGCTTATAATAAACACTTCCGTCTAAGAGGAACATCTGCACAATCCATTTAGCTCCAGGTTAAATTGTCTCGACTGTTAGTGGTGTTTGCTAAGGCTTGCATCACAGCATTGCTTGTAATTAGGGTTAAAGATTTGAACAAACCCCAACACTAAGCAATAAACATCCCCACTCCGTGAAACACAGAAACACATACGGCAAAAAAAATTTTTTATAATACTCATTCTCTAAATATTTAAACTGTATTTTCTGAAAGATATATATATATTTTTTTTATTATTTTTTATTATTATTTCATATATTTAAAATGTATGTTGTAAACTGTGGCTTAAGGAAATATATTTTTTAACTTTGGGAAACCCAAGTGCGCCTGCGTACCGTGTGTGTGTGTGTGTGTGTGTGTGTGTGTGTGTGCTCTGCAGTGAGTGTGTGTTTGTGTGTTTAGTCTCTCTTTAAGACTCCTGCAGGGTAGATGGAGAGCTGCAGCTCTTTGGACACGCCCCCCTCGCCTCTGATTGGCCGCAGACTGCTGCCTCCTTCCCCTCTTTCATTGGTATTCATGTAGTACAGTCTTTGTGGAGGACAGAGGAGAGAGATAGGGCGAGAGAGAGAGATTTACAGAGGTAAAGGCGATACGAGTACAACAAGACGGGCGAGTGGAGAGGGACAGACGGGTTGAGGGAGGACAGTGAGAGAGAAAGAGACAGAAAGTGGACCGACTGCAAGCTAAGGGCGATTTTGAGTTGGACGGAAGCAGGTGCCAAAGTGCCGCAAGGGTCTGTGGGTTCTGGATGGTGAGTGGGACTTTGGATTTAAACCCAGCTGGAATCAGCCAAACCCTGGACTGACGGCTCTGCTGTCTTCCCTCACTGGAGGACGTCCTGCGGATACCCTACTGGCCTTTACTAGAGTGCGTGCGAGGGGTCTCTCTCCCCGTTGGGGAGGTGTGCCACGCAGACGGACGGACGGACCGCTGGCGTGTGTGTGTGTACGTGTCTCTGCGTGCGATTTCCCCCTATGTCCTTCTTTTTGTGGCTGTGTGCGCACCAGGGCCCAGTATATGGATAGAAGCTCTCTGTTTCAGCTCATACAAGAGCAGGTAAGCAGCAGCAGGTTGCTATGGTTACTGCATCCTCCTGTGCATTGACGTGCATGTGTGTGTGTGTGTGTGTATGTGTGTTTATAGGCTGATACAGAGCGAAATGGACAGTCGGAATGAATGAGTACTGGAGTGTGTGTGTGTGTGTGTGGTCCTCATGTTCAGTCAGTGGCTGTTAGTGTAGTAGTAGTAGTACACTCAGCACTGGTGCTCAACACATGCCTGGTTGTGTATGCTAATATATGTAAATATGTGGATATATACACTTACATGCATGCACTTACATGCATTTTATTACCCTAAATCATATTTAAACACACAGTACTGTTTAAAAGGTTGGTGTTGTAAGAATTTATGTTTTTTAAAGAAGTCTCTTATGCTCACCAAGGCTGCATTTATTTGATCAAAAATAGATCCGTAATATTGTGAAATATAATTTCAATTTGAAATAACTATATTCTATTTGAATATCTTTTAAAATGTAATTTATTCCTGTGATGCGCAGCTGAATTTTCAGCATCATTACTCCAGTCTTCAGTGTCACATGATCTTCAGAAATCACTCTAACATGCTGATCTGCTGCTCAAGAAACATTTCTGATTATTATCAATGCTGAAGACATTGTTGTGCTGCTTCATATTTTTGTGTAAATACATTTTTTTCAGGATTCTTTGATGAATAGAAAGTTAAAAAAGAACACCATTTATTTGTAATAGAAGTCTTTTGAAACATTATAAATATATTTACTGTCTCTTTTGATCAATTTATTGCATCCTTGCAGAATAAAATTATTAATTTATTTTAAAAAGCCTTAATGACCCTAAACTTTGCGTTTATATTTCAATATCATATATTTTCCTGTTTTAACAGTGACTGGCAGATGTAAAATCCAAGAAAGTAGCAATGCAGTGACTTCAATTCAATTTCAGATCAGATTCATTCAATTCAGTTCACAAGTCAGGTTGACTCGTTTGCACTTTTAACAGTTCAGATTAACTTGACTATTTAGATCAGTTCAATTAAACACCATTATAGCTTTTGACAATATAGATAAATTAATTATAGATTAAATTCAGCTAATTTCACTTCCACTTAGATCAATTCAGCTGCATTATTAGTATTGACCATATAAATTGTTCATTCAGCTTATTTCATTTCAATTAAGCTCAGTTCTATTCAGTTCAATTCAGCTTCATTAGTCATTTTAATATGGATATTTCAGTTCAGCTTCAATGGTAATTTTAACAACACCAATTGTTTCTGAGTTGCTTCACTCACAAACCTCTGGATGACTGGATCAGGAAAAACTCCTTCAGTGAAAGAAGGAAACCTTGGTAACAGACTCAGAGGAGGAGACCCAAAAATACTCGAAAGAAGTCATCATTGATCAGAAAAGAGCTGAGCACTTCAAGAGATGAGCAACAGACACCAAGAGATACCAAAATATGTGTAGTCATGAAATGACGCATTATGTTTATAGCACATTGTTTTGTTTTTTTCTGTTACAGCTAGCGGGTTTGTGTGCAAACACTGCAAAAACGTGACTTATTTATACCTTCAGTCTGACCCGCCAGTTTGCAGAACGCATTACTCTCTACGTACAGAAGTAGAGATAGAAGGAGGTCAGTGAGAACCCTTCAGTAAGAGTTTTGCGGTTTAAACAGCTACATTTCAAGGAGGTGTTAACATTGAGATGCTCTGGTACTTCTTGCTGAGTTTTCTTGGCAAAAAAACCCCCCGAAAACTCTTTCCAAGTCTGGCAGCTCACATCACATGAGTTCAAAAATTCACCAGGATTCAAACAACAGCTTGGTTTGAATACATATGCATGAGTATATGCGAATTAGTTTCATTCTTGAAGCAAAAGTGGCTCCGCAGACAGAAAATTCAGATTTAAAGTGCTTGAATAAAGGTCACGCTTTCTGGTCTCGGTTTATCAGTGGTTCGTATTGGTTATTTATTAGTTCAGTGTTTTCGACTGATTATTTCCAAACCTAAAGTAAATATTAAATAATAAATACACACACGTGTGTATGTGTGTGTGTGTGTGTGTGTGAATATGTATGTATTCTGATATGTGTGTGTGTGTGTGTGTATATATATATATATATA